TTCCAGTTGGTTCTGGAACCAGGGGTAGCATGGTGGTACAGCAATTATCACTGTTGCCTCACACCAGGGTTCAAGTCCCCACCATGACTGTGCAGGTGGAGTTTTCATGCTATCTCTGTGTTGTCTTGGGGTTTTCTCTGGGGTACTCTGTCCCCCCCCCAGTTTGCAGTTACCAAACTGCATGTGAGTGTGATGTGAGTGTGCCCTGTGACAGGTTGCAGTCCCATCCTCGGTTGTTCCTTGCCTTGCACCCGTAGCTTGAGGAATAGGCTCTGGACTCCCGTGACCCTGAATGGCACAAGCTGTTACCGAAAATAGATGGATGAATGGTGCTGGAACCAAAGAATATGCATAAAACAGTACAAGGCTTTTGTATTTAAGAAACCTTTTATTCTGCATTTTGTAATTTTTTTAAAAGTACACACAATATAAAAATAAAGTGTACACACAATGTTCAGTAACAAACTTTGTATTATCTACTTTGTGAAAGATATTTTGGCTAGATACTTCGCCAGTCCTTGCCTCTCCGCAAACTCAGCTTGCCAGAATTATGGACCTGCCTTTGTGTTTCCTTTCTAGATGGTGGTGGAAATTGAAGGTTGTGCCAGCCTCCTCTGCAATCGATGATTTACAATAATTGCTTCTTTTTACTCCTTATGAAATGGGAAAGTTTGTAGGAAAGTCTTTAAAGTTACAAGTGTTGAAGTCCGTCTCATAACAAAGTAAAAATTCACCCGAGTGACAAGACCGATTGCATTCATATTGCGGTAACACAGCTTTGCCCTGTGCTGTCTATTTTTGTCTTATCGTGCAGCGATTACTTTGCAGTCTGTAATTACAAGCAACTCCCTCTGGGATAATAAGAGTATTCTGATTGTGATTCTGATGAAACCACTCGCATTTGACAAAAGCAGTTTCATTGGCACTTCGTGTCCTTATCGTATGCCGGCCCTCTAAGTCCAGAGCACGTTAACATTAACACAACGCAAAAACATTAAGAAGACGCAAAATCTTCTTGAGATCTGAAAAATACATGCAAGTGCTTGCTTTCCACAGCGAACTTCATACATACTACATGCTGTAAAGAGGAACATAGCAAAGTTGAAACAGGAGTCTTTGACATGAATAAGTATCAGTTTGTAAAGATGAATTATCAGTCAGTGACAATGAGAAAGTGTGAACCGACTCTCATTCAGAATTGTGCAGCGCAGTAGCCTCCTTACACTGACATGCTGACAATATATCTAAGCATTTTGAGTCTATGTACATCATATTTCGTGACTTTCCCAAAACAATTAACTCAAAAGTAAATAATTCCAGCAAGTGACACCAAAATTAAAAGTATAATCAGCATTGTTTTAACCATGAGATTGAAAGTGCTTAGATATATTGTCAGTATGACAATCGGTTCCCACTTCCTCAGTATCACTGACTGATCAGTTCTCTTTAGCAAACTGATACTTTTTCATGTCAAAGACACCAGTTACAACCGTGCAAGGATCTACATTACAGTATGTAAAATTCACTGGCAAGAGAAAACACTCACCTGCACATATATACCACAAAAACAAAATGGCAATAAAATAACAACAAAATAAAAAGAAAAACATGTAGCCTACTGTGTGAACCAAAAACAGCAGTTTATGGAGTGTATTTATAAATAATTTTGAAAGCTTGGTTAACTGTTTTCCATGTGGTGACTAACACAATGACCACATTTCTATATAGTTTTGGGTGTTAAGTTATTACAGTGGGAAACTACATAATCTATTTTGACTAACAAGTCTAAAACAACTGAAAATTGTGCCAAATGATGCCAATTGTACAAAACCATTTATGTATACAGTACGTACTAAAACATTTGGAAATTTGTGTGAAGCAGTGAGAAATTATACTCTGCTGTGCAGAAGTGACGATATGGTGTGGGGAAGATGGTGGCACAGGAGGTAGTGCTATCGTTTCAGTTGTTCGGCAACTGGAAGGTTGCAGGTTTGAGTCCTGGTTCCTCCTGACCCCATCAAAGTGTCCTTGAGCAAGACACTGAACCCCAAATTGCTCCCGGTGTGCAGGTTGGCGCCTTGCATGGCAGCCTCCGCCACCGGTGTGTGAATGTGTGTGTGGATGGTGAATGTGAGGCATAAATTGTAAAGCGCTTTGAGTAGGAGTAGAAAAGCGCTATATAAATGCAGTCCATTTACCTTCTGATTGGTTGGTGAGGGATTCCGCAAAAGGTCTGCGCAGTTCACATCGCAATAAAAAGCGGTGCTACAGTTAAACGAACCATCCTGGACATCACTGATAATAATTAAGTCTTAAAATTCGCGCACCAACACCGGAAAGATGGCTGTAAGTATATATCTGTATATTAAACAGATTTTTAATAACTGTCTTTCGAAATTCAATGAGTCAGACAAATGATTATGTGGATTAAAACTAACCTAGGTGGATCTGAGCTGGTTATGCTCTTAAATATTTTTTTAAATAACAACTAAATGTCATTTTACCCTAAGTCGTAAATTTAAATGTGATCAGTTTGATAATCTAGTTAATGCNTATCATCTGACTTTCTGTCTTTGTCACTAAAGACAACGAATGTCAAGCTGGAACTCAAAACAGGGAGGGTGGGTTTTACCAGCCTTGAATCCACACCCAGCAAATTCACAAACTCTGAGCAGCCACACAATCAGCCCACATAGCTATGCAGCAGTCCGGGAGCAGGGAGAAAGACACAAGGGAAAAGGATTCAAAGACAGAGGAGGACAGGATGGCCAGCGACACCTACTGGCCAAACGGGGAAAATACACAAGGAGCTGGGCTGGACTGTACCAACCCTGACAGATTTGTCAAACATATCTTCATTGCATCCTGTATTAATTATTACTAGTAATAATTAATTTCATTTCCAGTTGGTTCTGGAACCAGGGGTAGCATGGTGGTACAGCAATTAGCACTGTTGCCTCACACCAGGGTTCAAGTCCCCACCATGACTGTGCAGGTGGAGTTTTCATGCTATCTCTGTGTTGTCTTGGGGTTTTCTCTGGGGTACTCTGTCCCCCCCCCCAGTTTGCAGTTACCAAACTGCATGTGAGTGTGATGTGAGTGTGCCCTGTGACAGGTTGCAGTCCCATCCTCGGTTGTTCCTTGCCTTGCACCCGTAGCTTGAGGAATAGGCTCTGGACCCCCGTGACCCTGAATGGCACAAGCTGTTACCGAAAATAGATGGATGAATGGTGCTGGAACCAAAGAATATGCATAAAACAGTACAAGGCTTTTGTATTTAAGAAACCTTTTATTCTGCATTTTGTAATTTTTTTAAAAGTACACACAATATAAAAATAAAGTGTACACACAATGTTCAGTAACAAACTTTGTATTATCTACTTTGTGAAAGATATTTTGGCTAGATACTTCGCCAGTCCTTGCCTCTCCGCAAACTCAGCTTGCCAGAATTATGGACCTGCCTTTGTGTTTCCTTTCTAGATGGTGGTGGAAATTGAAGGTTGTGCCAGCCTCCTCTGCAATCGATGATTTACAATAATTGCTTCTTTTTACTCCTTATGAAATGGGAAAGTTTGTAGGAAAGTCTTTAAAGTTACAAGTGTTGAAGTCCGTCTCATAACAAAGTAAAAATTCACCCGAGTGACAAGACCGATTGCATTCATATTGCGGTAACACAGCTTTGCCCTGTGCTGTCTATTTTTGTCTTATCGTGCAGCGATTACTTTGCAGTCTGTAATTACAAGCAACTCCCTCTGGGATAATAAGAGTATTCTGATTGTGATTCTGATGAAACCACTCGCATTTGACAAAAGCAGTTTCATTGGCACTTCGTGTCCTTATCGTATGCCGGCCCTCTAAGTCCAGAGCACGTTAACATTAACACAACGCAAAAACATTAAGAAGACGCAAAATCTTCTTGAGATCTGAAAAATACATGCAAGTGCTTGCTTTCCACAGCGAACTTCATACATACTACATGCTGTAAAGAGGAACATAGCAAAGTTGAAACAGGAGTCTTTGACATGAATAAGTATCAGTTTGTAAAGATGAATTATCAGTCAGTGACAATGAGAAAGTGTGAACCGACTCTCATTCAGAATTGTGCAGCGCAGTAGCCTCCTTACACTGACATGCTGACAATATATCTAAGCATTTTGAGTCTATGTACATCATATTTCGTGACTTTCCCAAAACAATTAACTCAAAAGTAAATAATTCCAGTAAGTGGCACCAAAATTAAAAGTACAATCAGCATTGTTTTAAGCATGAGATTGAAAATGCTTAGATATATTATCAGTATGTCAGTGTAAGTAGGTTACTGAACTCCACAATTCTGAATGACAATCGGTTCCCACTTCCTCAGTACCACTGACTGATCAGTTCTCTTTACCAAACTGATATTTTTTCATGTCAAAGACACCAGTTACAACCGTGCAAGGATCTACATTACAGTATGTAAAATTCACTGGCAAGAGAAAGCACTCACCTGCACATATATACCACAAAAACAAAATGGCAATAAAATAACAACAAAATAAAAAGAAAAACATGTAGGCTACTGTGTGAACCAAAAACAGCAGTTTATGGAGTGTATTTATAAATAATTTTGAAAGCTTGGTTAACTGTTTTCCATGTGGTGACTAACACAATGATCACATTTCTATATAGTTTTGGGTGTTAAGTTATTACAGTGGGAAACTACATAATCTATTTTTGCTTAAAAGTCTAAAACAACTGAAAATTGTGCCAAATGATGCCAGTTGTACAAAACCATTTATATATACGTACTAAAACGTTAGGAAATTTGTGTGAAGCAGTGAGAAATGATACTCTGCTGTGCAGAAGGGACGATATGGTGTGGGGATTACACTCATTGTTTCGTGATTGTTAATTGCCATTTGAGAAATGCTCCAAAGCGATCAGAAAAAAAACGGTGCCATTTCGCCCTGGGAACCTGGTTGCGTGGTGTCAGCTGCCTTCTGATTGGTTGGTGAGGGATTCCGCAAAAGGTCTGCGCAAGTTCACATCGCAATAAAAAGCGGTGCTGCAGTTAAGCGAACCATCCTGGACATCACTGATAATCAGTCTTAAAATTCGCGCACCAATACCGAAAGATGGCTGTAAGTATATATCTGTATATTAAACGGATTTTTAATAACTGCCTTTCCAAATTCAATGAGTCAGACAAATGATTATGTGGGACTGGATTAAAACTAATCTAGGTGGATCTGAGCTGGTTATGCTCTTAAATATTTTTTTAAATAACAACTAAATGTCATTTTACCCTAAGTCGTAAATTTAAATGTGATAAGTTTGATAATCTAGTTAATGCAATTGTTACATTATGTTTTAGGTGAGTCGTACCTAACTTTGATCAATAATTCTGCACCACAGAAATTCCTTTGAGTATTGGTACTGTAAGTTAATTTATAATCAGCTTTGCACGACATGAGCACATCTGGATAATTTGTATGCATTCACGTATTGGAACTTCATTTTAATTTAAGCGTAAATAAGAAGTATCCTTAGTTGCTGGCTACCGAACACGTATTGTGACTCGTATGTATCATTTTTGGAATAGATTAGATCACTTTGAAGTTACGTTAAAGATATCGTTTCAGTCCGAAATAGGTCAGCTGGTGAACCGCCCAAAAATACAACAAACTGATTGTCCCTTAAATATAGGCAATAAAAAGTAGGTATATTGAAAATCGATTATATATTATTATTAATACTAATAATAATAATAAACCACGTTTTCTTTTGGATCGACAGACGTTCATATAATTGATACATGATTGAATTAGCAAGATGCTTCATTTAATATTCCTGAAAATGTCTTGGTAGAAGAATATACCAGACTTATTTGCTCGATATCACCGATCAAATTCCAAAAGAATTAAGTCATTGTCATGAGAACGGGCATGGTGCAGGCAGGAAAAGGAGGTGATGATCCACTAGCGGCTCTGAGACACAAGGGGGTTTATTACGGAAATGAAATACACTGGGTAAAACTACAAAGGAAAGGACCATGAGGGGTCTATAAGAAAAATGGGGAAAACAATGACTAACTACAAGAAATGACAAGGAAACAAGGTCCAGGAACAAGGCAACACAGGGAGCATGAACAGGCAAGGGACCAACACACAAACTCATAATAATAACATCTAAAATTCCGAGGCAATGACCACTTAAGGAATTGAACTAAGGCAGGAACATAAATACACAAACCAAACTGGGTAACAAAGCAGAAGGAGTGAGACATGAAACAAGTAGTCAATCAGGAAGGGTGCAGGACAAGGAGTAATCAGGTAGAATAATCATGATGCTCAGGGAAACAGGTGGGTCAAATTAACCTTTTTTTTTTTTAATTTTATTTATTTATTTTTTTTTTTAATGTGTCCTGTCCGGCAGCTTTCGCAAGCAGAATAATGGTCTGAATGCACTGCTGTGTCAGACATATTTCCTTTACCATGAGGGGCTCTATAAACTCTGTATAGGCCCTTCATGTTGGTCAATTTCTTTTTATTCGTATATTTATTGTATCTTATTTAATACATGTAAAATATTCCAGTTGCCGTGCTGCCCGGAAGGGAGTGATAGATTAGCAAAATGAGTGAAGAAAATGGGTAGGGAGAGAAATGAAAGAGGAAGAAGGAAAGAGAGAGGGAGAAAGAAAACAAAAAAACACGAACAAAGGCGGAGACAACAGTGGGACAGAGAGGCTAAGAAATTAACACATAAGGCAAAAAAAAAAAAAAACGCATTTGAAATACAACCAAAAAAGCATAAATACAAAGACACAACCAGAAATAAAGAAAATAAAACAGATATACAGACATACAAAATTGCAGCATGTGCTTGGAAGGGAGCGTGGAGGTGTATTTGCATGTGTGTTCATCTGTTTGGGGGAGGTGTTTGAACATGTATGCGTG